TTAATATCACGACAGAACAGCCCAATTCTAAAGCGCATTTTGCAAACTTTGGGGAAATTAGCCTTGACCCTGAATTGCAGATCTGTTTTGGTAATACAAGAATCACAACATGTAATGGAAAATAAACAAAGTAAACATGACAAAAACCACATGATGAAAGTAAACAAAAATGGTAAACAACCACAGCAAACAACAACAACCAACAACAGTAGTCAGAAAACAACAAATCACATGAAGCAAAACAACAACAGAAAGTTCTAAAAAAAACCTGTCATAGCAGAATTAACAAAGATAAAAGCAAAAGAAGTACGTGAAGATATAGAGATGTATAGACAAGGTTATATTAATTCTGATATACCAGAAGCTATAAAAGAGGTAATAGCAGATATTCAGAGCAAAAAGGCAGCAATAACTGACAAAATAATGAATACAGAAGTAGAAGAAATAATAGCAGAATATGCTGGGCAAGAGCTTATTCCAAAGAAAATAGCTGACGAAAGGATAGCAGAGCTCTATAAAGAGTTATGGTACTATAATATAGGAAAATTAAAATATACAGAACTTGCACTGATAAAAAGAGAACATGAGACTTTTCTCGAAGCAATTCAAGATGGAAAAGACCCTGTTCATTGTATTATAATAGAAAAAATAATTGGTTATATAGCAGAATTAAGAATAGCTGAGGAAGTCAAAAGATTATTAGTAGAAAGGGAAAAACAACATGCTGAATTAAAGGCAAAATTAGAAGTAGGTTGGAGCAAGAGACTTCAAGAACAAAAAAAAAGCCGACAGAGACAGCTCAACAAAACAGCCCTGAATTCTACAATATATCAGTTCAAAGAATCCATCAAGACTACAGCAACAAACCAACAAAAAACAAGAAGTGAAATAAAAGAAAAGGAAAAGATGCAAGTTTAACAAGAAAAAAAAAACAAGCTACTATAATAAAGTTGAAGTTAGATATAGGTTAGAGCAAGAGACTTCAAGAACAAAAAAAAAACTGACAAAGGCAGAATAATAATTTAGATTTAAGAACTTAAATAATATATTTTAAAGTATCTGTCAAATTTGCCCTAGCACGCCAGAAAAGAAAAAGACGAAAAATTAGAAAAGAAAAGCAAAACAAAAGCAAAGGACAAAACATTCCTGGTCTTACAGAGGCTAAAGTACTAAATAAGATTCAAGAGGAATCAAAACCAAAAATCATATTTGCAACCCTGAAAATTGGTTAACAGAAGTAATATATCAAATTAGCATTAAAGATAATTCACAATATAACAAGAAAATGTGGAAATAGATGAAAAAAGATCTTTTGGCAAAATGGATACATGGACGGAAGTCCTAATGGAACTTGAATACGAACCCACCGCAGAGCACAGTAATACCTAGACTGTGGGGTGTCAAGAATTGGAAGAAGAAAAAGAAGGACACATTATTAGGAATACTAGAGAAGATCTTTGTAGAATATCTTAAAAATCAGAGGATCTTTAACAAAATACAAGAAAGATTCTTGAGAAGAAGACCAAGTTTCAGAAGAGAAAAGAAGAGTAAGAAGACCAAAAAAAGAAGAGAAAAAGATTCCTATATCCAGAATACGGAAGAAAGAGAACTCGAGCAAACTTATCAAGACCTCAAAATGAAGAAATCGAAAGAAAACTTAAGATACTCAAAGAAAAAGAAAATGTATAGAAGAATATTCCTGGAAGAAACTGATAGATCAAGCCCTCAAGCAAAAAAAGAAAGGAAGTACAAAGCTATAAACTGGGAAGGAAAAGTTATAGAAAAGATCAAGAGAAGACTTTCAAGACCCGGGTCGCAAATTGGAAAAGACAGATTGAACTGGAAGAGAAGGAAAAGGAAAAAGTAATATAATCACGAACGAGAAAATTTTGGCAATATCCCTGTATTAAAAGAATAAATATCTTGGTTTATTCATAGAAAATTGGGTTTAGAACTTTGTTCAAAAGAGTTGGATAGTTTTGAAAGAAAAAATTACCAATTTAATGTAGTAAAAAATTCATTCGTTTTGAAACTGTCTTGTGATGGTTTCCTAGGCTAGCTTGGTATAGCCTTCTGGTACAGGCAATAGCCTTAATCGGTGAAGCAGACCACACTTGGGCACCTTTAGGGGCAGCCAAGTGATACCAGATCTGTAACTTAGATAGTTTAATTATACCTTGTGCAAATGTTTTGATCTAATAAAGATACCGGCGAGGCTGCCGATACATGCAAAACAAATATATATATATAAATAAATTATATACTATATTAATAATATATTTACTTTCATTTTTAACTCTATCAACTCGTCTTTGCTTTAATAATTCCAATTGTTGTAAACTTGCAAGATTAGAAGTCATTGTTTTTCAATTTTCTTTCCATCACTTTTCACGTTGTTTTATAAATCACATTGCAAAATCTGTATTGTTTATAAGTTGTGAAATTATATAACTAGCCTTGTTTGAATTAATAGTATGTGATTTTTAATAACCAATTAGATGTGTATAATTTTGTTTTTCAATTGGTTTTAAATTGTATGCTTCATGATATCTTCATAATACAATCATATTTGAATAATCTAACTCTCTTTTTAAAAAGTTATATCTAATAATAAGATCTTTTAAAATTATATAAATACTTAATAATATATTATTAAAAGTTTTGGTAAACATAATATTAAAAAATTATACCATGTTCAACTTGCTCATTATTAAAGATTTTTGTTGAATTATTTAAAATTGAAATAATTTGTGTTTGGTAAATTTGATCATCAGTATTTCAATATTCAACGAATCAAAAATATCATTAATAGCTTCAGTAGTATATTTGAAAGCTTGACTAATTGTATAAGAGATTTCTTTATCAATTTCAAAAAATTCATTCAAGTCATTTTCAAATTCTGAATTTGATTTAATTCTAGTTGATATTTCTAAATCTGGTATTTTTATTATTACAAATAGAAGTAATAATGAATTATTTGTACTTGAAGTCAAGTCTATACCAAGTGCTTTGGCAAGTTTATATGCTAATTTGTAAGAATGTTTAATAGTTGTTGCAATATCAATATCTGATAGCCAAGTATATAATTTTGCTAATTTGCTTGAATTAATATTTCCTATATTATAATCATAATAATATCCTTAAAAAAAAATATTAAAATTAAATAGATAATTTAATAATCAATAATTGTGACGGATTATAATAAAATCCAGATCAAAATATAAAATCTTGAAAAATAAAATTTTTTGGGGTGTATTTTTTAGAGATAGGGGTTAGGGTTAGAGATTAGTTTTAAAGTAAAATTATAATAAACAAGTATAAGTGGGTTTTAGAAGGTTAATAGATTGAGTAGAAAATGTAGATTTCATTTTAAATTATGATCTATGACAATAATTATACTAATATTATATTTACTTATCCTCATGTACAGATTTTTCTTTGTCTAATATAATATTTTTTGTTCTTAATACTTTGGCGTATTGAGAAATTTTTGGAACTAATTATAACAATTCTGAATAATTAAAATCAGAATTTATTTGATATGCTATACCAAAAAGTGTTCACAAGCCTCTGATCTATACATCTATGTTAAAAGTAGATAATTTGAATAATATTCTCAATGTATTTTTACTAACAAAACTATAGACTCCGCAAGAGAAATAAAATTGCAAAGCTTTGATCTGCTAAAAAATTCTTGCTTATAGAGATAAAATTAGAATACTTTTTGCTCATATTACATATTCTTTCCAAAATTGTAAAAAAAAAAAGATATCATTGATATTTTAATTCTTTCTAGCGAAAGTATTTCATGATTTAAGTAGCTGTCAATAAGTTTATCTAATCTTCAAATTGCAATTAATAAAGTTAAATACTAAATAAAAATAATAATAATAATATATATATAAATTATTTTTATCTAATCTATACTAAAAAGATATACAAAAAGTCCTCGCATATTCTCTTCAATATTATATGTTTCATAGCAATTTTGTAAATTTCTGAACAAAATACATGATATGTAGCACCATCATCTTGACAATCAAGCTTTACTATATCATAATAATATATTACAAAATTAGAAAGATTTGACAATTTTAATAATTATTCAAATTGTGCAGTTGAACTTCCAAGAGTAAGAAGACAAGCACCAGATATAATTGCATTATAGCTAGTTTTTTTAGCATGTTTAAGATCTTGTATATGAATAACAGATTCTATATTTGGAAAAATTGGGCAGCTAAAATTAACTCAAGTTCATTATTTTTGAAAGTTAATCATTCATTTGTTAATATATTTTAATTGCAACTTGAGCTTTAAATTTAACAATAGTACTATTGAATCCAATTGATAATATTAGAAGATTTAGTGCTATTTGAGTTAATAATTCTTGATGAAAGCCAGTTATAGTTCATATATTATTAGATCCATTATTGGCAATTAATGCAATAACTACTGGAGAAAAGTTTGGCAATAGTATCTAATAAATTAAATAGTAAATATTACTATTTATATTATATAATTATAAGGCTAATAAATAACTTACCTGTAATATATAAGCACGCATATTTTTCGCAACTGCTTTTTTTGTTTTAATATTATTAATAATTAGTTGAATATCCTCATATATATTAATTTTAGTTTGTTCAATAGGTAGTATTGATCTGATAATAATTCTTAAAATAAAATTTTGGTGTAAATTTAAGGTTTTCAAATACTCGTTTTGAAATAACAAGATGATTTGCTAATATAAAATTATGTTTTAAGGTTAAACATTTATCACAAATTGTTTTTTCTGATTCAGAATATCCTGTATATTCTTTAGCATGTACACTAACACCTATTAAAAAAATTTTATTAATGATCGATAAAAATAAAAAAATACAAATCTAAATAAATACTTACAATCTTTATCAACATGCCATTGAGATTCTGCATAAATTTTTGATTTAATGCATGTTTATGAAATGGTTTAAGTTTTTTCTTGTAAACTTATGAAGAAATTTTTCAGGATATATTTCTTTAGCAATTACTTCAACATGGTGAGCTCTACCACAACATGCTGGCATTCTATCAACATATTTTTTAATCAAATCTGAATATAATCCTAAGCATAGCTTTTTTTTTACCAGTTTGGTTAGTTACTAGATTAATAATCTCTATGTTAGCATTTTCTTCACTATTAATTTTATCCTTATTTTTGTCTATTGTAATAATATTATTATCATCCATTACATCTTCTATTTCACTTTTTCAATCATTCCAATCATCATCTAAATTTATTTTATCAACTTTTTTAACTACCTTATCTGTTGAGTTAAAAAAACACAAAATACTTTTTTGTTTTTTCCATTTACATCCTAGACCATTTGCATGCCAATTAATATAATCTTTATTATATTTTCTATTAAGTTTTATTGTAACCTCACATATGCAAATTACTTTTTTTGTATGTACAACTTTAGCAACAAAAGGATTTCTTTGTAAACATTCTATTGAGTATTTCCAGCCAACCATAATATACAAAAAAAATATGCAAACAACAATAATATGTAAATATGAAGATAATGAATACGTATAGATAAAGATGATATTTAGAGATGAAGATAATTGGTAATAATAGTTTATAAAGAGATAATATGCATAGCGATAGAGAAAATTATATTAAAATCGCATTGTTAAATCTAGTGGTCAGCTATAAATTTGCTGATCATTGATCAATTGGTTATTGGTCAAATTGGTTTGATCAAACTGGTCAAAAAGTATGGATATACAGACCAATCAGACCAATTTGACCAATTCGACCACTCTAAATAGTCTGATCGGTGCATATTATTTTTGGCACACTAAAGAAAAAAAATTTAACAATAGAAACTTAAATAAAAATTATTATTTTCAAATCTGATCTTTATTAAATACATGCATCTTTTTCATTGTTAAGTAATAAATAAACCAAAAAATTCATTATAGAGAAATTATTTCATTAGCAGATGCGAAGCTTAAATCTTTATTGATTATACTTAAACAATTTTTTCTATTTCAGTCAACATAATAATAATGTTACTATTCTTATTATTCAATATTTTGATATATAGACTCTTACATTGTATTTATCTAAATTACTAAAAAACAAATTAAATTGTACAATATCACAATTTCCAGAAATCTTATCAATAGAAATTGAAATTTGGGCTTATGAATTTTTTCTTATCATTACTTACCTAGGAAAAAGTTAGTCATGCAACTAAATTTAAAAAATTAACCAAAATTCAAAATCGGAACAGACTAGAATCCCCAATACCTAATTATTAATAATAAAAGAACGATAGCTCATAAGTTAATTAAGGTTGTCCATATAGTTGGCCGTATTATTGCATAATGATAGCATAATCCAATTCTAAATTTTGCCACTTTGTTGCACACTAATCTATTTTTTATCTAACCAGAAAGCCTCCTAATATAAGCTGTCACAAATAGAAATCAAGCAGATTTATTAGATAAATCTGCTTGATTTCTATTGATAGCAACCCAATATGATATTAATATACATCACTAGACAAAAGGTGAAACCTAGTTTTGACTTTGGCAAAAAAAAATTAAAAAGGCGAATGGTGAAAATGGCAAAACTAGTGAAAGGTGGCGAAACTAGAAAGGTAATTAAAGATAATTAAAGCTCTTTTATATTATCATCAATCTTTTTGTTTATACTTGTTCATCATTAAATTGTTATATCAAAATTATGTACATACATACGTACATATCTGATATTACACATTACTTATGTTATATTTGCTGCAATACGCACATTTTTCACGATCAGAATTTTTGATTATATTATAAATAAAATAGGATCATTCACTTAGATAACAACTATTTCTATCTGATGTATATTTTTTTGATATATCCAAAATTAATAAAACTTGTGTTGTACAGGAGTGGGTGAAAATAATGATTTCTGGTTCAGATCATAGTGACAATGAGTAAAATTTTAAAATATATATGGGGTGTCAGTAGAAACCAGGCAAATTGTTTCTAAGTAAATTTTTTTCCAACTTTAAATTAAAATATCTCAACAATTAAACTTGATAATTTTTTTTTATTTTAATTCTATATAGTTATAGAATTAAAATAAAAAAATATTTATAAAGTCTAGTTTAATAGTTGTTGAAATATTTTAATTTAAAATTTTAAAAAACTTACTAAAAGCAATTTGTCTAGTTTTTACTGACACCTCCCATATTTTTAATTTTTTAATCTTTAATCTATATAAGGTTAAAATATAAATAAATTAGCTTAGTATATATTGAATAAACTATATAATTAATATGTTTTAACTTATCTTCAAAATTATATGATCTTATTATAACTGTTATTATTTTTCTTAATTTTTTTTAATCTTTTGTATACTATTCAACCAGTTTGTAAAACATAAGTTACATAACTAAATTCTTTTCTGATTTTTTTAGTTTATTAATTAGAGTCTATTTAGTTATGAGTTCATATAAATTATTGTTATATTTGTTACAATATGCATATTCTTTATTTATTTTTATAATCATTAATTAAATTATTAAATATAGACTAGTTATATGGATTAATAGATACTTATGCTCATATTGAATAAATGTGAATAAAATAGGTTATTTTAAATACTTATATTTTATACGTAATTAAATAGTAAATATCATATTCATAAATATTATTACCTGAGTGATCTATATGCAGTAACAAGATTTGGATTAATCAAGTAATATATTCGAAAAGTAAACTAAAAAATGTTTTCAAGAAAAAAATCACTTGTTAATTTTGCTGCAAAAAGTTAAAAAAAAGACATTTTTTTCGTTCTCCAAATTAATTGGCCTGTAATAATCGGTCAGATTGGTTTGTGGAACAAATCACTTGACCTGGTCAGATTGGTCAAATTGGTTAGATCGGTCTGTGTACTATCTGTGTGTAACTAAATTATTTGACCGATTTGACAGTTTCAAGATGCCTAAATATAATGATAACAATAACAATTGTCAAATTGGATATCTACTACGCAAACTCAATACTGAGTTTAGTTAAATGCATGCCTTGTTATGCATTTATAAATCTGACTAATTTAAAATTAAACTATTGGTTAAGCAAATAAAAATCTCACATAGGGTAAAATTTCTTATGATCATTAAGCAAACTCAAATCTAATATATTTAAGTATTGTTCAGAGTTTTACTATATCTCCTGTATACTAACAATAGCCATAAATATACATGAACAATGCACTATCATTATCCCTATACAATACTGTATTACAATCCAAGCTATATGTTCAAAATACTTATGTACTAATATTTCTGACTTAACTTCCAACTATTCTCTTTTTAATAATTTTAAAATACAAACAAATTATTAAAATACTAGACCTGCTACTCTGCATCTAACTGCATAGATTACTGTTACTCCTAACCATGTATTCAAACAAGAACCTACTTAATTTCATCTAAATCATTTAGCACAAATCAATATACAAGCCTCAAAGCTTTGCTTCTATATATATACCATATATACCAATACAAATTTACCAAGCTCTTTTGCATTATTTGTTTAAACTCTCACTTCAACATAATATTCACAGCAAATATCACCTTCTGGCTAGTATTACAAATCAAAAGTTGAAAAAATCAATTAGTTGGTTAGTTGACTACTAATCAATTAAACCTTTTAAATATCAACTAATCAATTAATCGATCAATCGACTAATTAATTAGTTGCAACTAATTAACTAAAAAATTAATCAATTGTTACAAATATGTCAATTAAAAAATTATTTATTTACTTAATAAATTAGTTGCAACTAATCGATTAATTGATTAGTTGTAACTTATCGATTAATCGATTAGTTGCAATTCATTGATTAATTGATTAGTTGCAACCAACTAAAAAAATAATTACCAACTAATCGATTGAAAAAATTTTGCCAATTTGTAATACTACTTCTGGCCATCCACAACCAAAGCGTATCTTGTTGAAATAATTTATATACTTACTATAGTACTACCAGATTGTCAAATTACAATTCTAACTTCACACTCTACAACAGTTAACATAATAAACTCAGTTTTACAAACCACACCCAACTCAATATAAGAATACAAAAACAAAATTTTTGGCCATTTAAACAGCTTATACACACTATTATTGTACAAAAAAACATTATAATCAAATTTACTTTGATTGAGGCCAAGTCAAAACCCTATTATTCCAACATACAATACAAACTGCAACATCAGCACAACACAATAAAATTGAACTTACCTCTTATACACTTGATTATAATAACTTTTTCATAAGCTAGAATGGTACAATCATTGAATACAAGACTAAAGATTTATTAGACATATACAAAACACAAACAATATATCCAGGTGGCACTTCTTAAACAGAGCCCAAACTTGAAACCAGATATAACAAAACACAGAT